GTGCATACACATACAAAACAATGTTAGAAAATGTTATAAATATACTTAAGATGAGTGCAGTTTCTTTTGTGAAAAGCAGTTTGCGATAAAGAGGAGATCTTTTCTGTACTTTGTTTTTGGACAACTTTGGAATTGGAAAATAAATAACATTTTTCCCACAGTTGGTGGCAATTTAAAGTGAATAATTTGAGTGTCTTGATTTTTATCATAAAGATAATATACCATTAGCTCCCATACTCTTACTGTGACTGTGTTTGAAAAATGTAAATATCATAATTTCATTTGTATTAAGTTACAGGCATTTGGCCTGCATAGAAAAGGAAGTGTCATGCCTTATCAGGCCGTGTGGTTGCAGGTGACTTATCACCACCCGCAATAAAACTGCACCCCCCCACTTTGTATGTGTAAACTTCTGACCCCTGCTGATACTTCTTTGAAGTCCGACAATAAAAGCAGAAGATGGAGTTGTCCTGACAGAGTTGAGTCCAGAGTTGAGCCCAGAGTTGAGCACAGACATGGAAAGTAATTTTCCATCTGGTTCCACTCTCCTCTTCAGCAGAAAGTAACTTGTGTCCTGTGTTGATTTCTTTCTAGGACAATAATGGGTTAATATCATTAACCCTATCAAACTGTGTATTCTCTCTTTTATCCTCTGACATGGGAACTGGCTTTGAGCTTTTCTGCCTGGAACCTGCAAACTGAGAGTGAAGCTGGTCTCTCAGGAAAATAAGTTACCAAAAAATATTGGGGCTTGGTTTTTTAGGGGCTATGTGATAAAAGGGATTTTAAATTCTATTCTGGATTTAACAGGAAGCCAAACAGGAGAAGTTGGATAGGAGAGATATGATCTCTCTTTTTCATTTACATCAGAACTCTGGCTGCAGCATTTTGGATCAGCTGAAGGCTTTTCACTACAGTTTGTGGACTTCCTGATAGTAAAGAATTACAATAGTCCAGCCTTGAAGTAACAAATGCATGGACTAGTTCCAACGAATCACCCCTGGATTGGATATCTCTAAATTTGCAATATCCAGGTGATGAAAGAACAGCATTCTAAAAAAAACTCTTTGTTTTGGGATGTAAATGACACGTCTTGATTATTACTAACACCTAGGGGTTTTATTTTTGCTTTTATTTATTGTCCAAAATCAGAGCTTCTATATTATTATAAATTCCATGATCAATAGGGCACAGAAGCGCATGGACTTCCTGCGGAAGATGA